ATGAAAGAAGAGGAGGAACTGCAGCAGGAGCACAGAGATGGTCAACATCTGAAGTGGACAGGAGTGGAACAATCATGATGCTGTCCAACAATAACAGAAGTAAAGCTGCACTGTAATGCATGATACCATCAGTAATGCTACTGTATAATAGCAGTGAAGACTGAGTCTGATCATACTTTGTTCAGAAATTGCTGCAATCAGCCTGTAAGAACCAACTTGCCTGTATCCAAATTTCACTTTATAGCGAGTCTGTTCAAAGCTAAACACCCAAACTTCCAAAATATCCTCATGTACCTGCATAGATGATGAGTTTATATCCAGCAGTGATCGGTGAAGACTCCTGCTTTGTTCTGCTTTGTTCTGCTTTGTTCTGCTTTGTTCTGATGACAGCATGGTATGAGGAGAGAGAGAGAGCAGAGGAGGAGGAGTGATGCAGGAACAGAAAGAAGACCAGCTGTCCAGAGTCACCCCCACCCTTCTACACCCCCAAGCCTCAGAAACACATAAAAACCCCACTTGTCTTTGGTGGTAGGAATGATGAGTTAAAGGCACGCAACATGTTCAGACAACTTTAAACAGTGACTGACAGATGCAGGAAAAAAAGAGTCACTGCCAACAATTTTCAGTAAAAAAAAAAAAAAGTGCCACTGTTTTTTTTCACAAATTATATTTATACGTATTTATGAATATAGTTTTTTTTTATATAATCTAGTTTTAATGTTTATTTATATTTATTATATTTTTTTGTATTATATTCTTTATTATATTTTATTTAGTTATTTATTAAATAATAATAAATAATAAGATAATTAATAAGATAATTAAACAATTTCTCTGGACTTAAGATACAAGGTTTTTGTGTACAATCTCGATTCTAATTATTCAAATTAATAAAGAAAATATTCTCCAGCTGTTACTTTTTACTATCACTGACTTTTCTGCCCTGTTTGGCCTCTGTACCCTTCAGTTTCTCAGTACCACCAAGTGAAGTAAAGCATTTGCATTTTTTAGTGCTTCTGTATCTAAATGCCATCAATAACAACACAGGTACTGCATGCTGGCGCAGCTTTTCAAACCACTATCAGTAGTTACATTAGTAACACCTCTGCCCTCACTTTTACAACAGGCAAAAATGTTTATAACACAACAGGAAGACATAAAATGTAGCCTGTGCGTGATGAGGTAGTACCACACTGTGACCAGCAGAGGGCAGGCTGTGTGTCTTTCACTTGTCAGGCAAATGTGTAAAGCAGTTCACTAGGCATCCACA